AGACTTTGTCCTGAAACAGTAAGGTTCTCTTACAGCACTATACTGGGACTTTTCATATCCACATATGTAACTATAGTAGAATATATCTAGCAATGCATTTAAATTTTACTTCAAATATATTTGAAATGTGTAATTGTTTTCTTTAAAAAGATTAATATTATTTATATGAAGAAAGCATATTACACCATGAGATTAAATTCCTGGCTTCAGTAAGTATACATAATGAACTGCCAGCAGCTGAAATTGGAATGATTACATCTACCATATTTTTCAGAATAGTTGTCCACAAATGATACATGATGGCCTGCACTTTTGTTTCTCACCAGTATTTTAAAAATAAAACTTTTTGTTAGTGGTAAATTGTAAGCATAGGGCATGAAAGTGTTTGAATTTGATATAAAAGAAGTTTTGAAAGGAAGATTAGTGGTTTAAACCAAAAGATTAGTCACCCTGGGAAATTTAGCTGTGGCAAAAGCAGAGTTCAGTAATGAAAGGTCCTGCTCCAGCTGATTGCCCATTCATGCTGTGATTCCAGATCCTCCTCACTGGAGTTTCACCTGATTGATGGTGTTGATTATGGAGCTTAATAAATGGGATTTGTCTGCTCAGACCTCCCCTTGTTTGTGGTTTGGTTGGCTCCTCTGCTAAGTGGAGGTTGATTGTTATTATTTCATTATTCATTATTGCTTTAAAATAGAGGAGAAAAAGGCAAGTTACTGAGTAGATGGCAGTTGTTCTAGTTGAAACTGTCATCAGAAGTCACAAGAATAACTTCAAGTTTGATGTTCTTGCTTCCCAGTAGTTGGATCCAGTCCTTTCTGTCATTAAAGGGTTTCAATAGATTCCCAGTTTTCCATTGTGAGTCAGATCATTAAAATCCACAGGAAGTTCCCTTCCTAAGGGAAGCTGGACCACAGGACAAGCTCACCTTTAAGTTCTCATGCTTTGTTATTCCACAGGTAAGTTGCTTCAGTTCTTGCATGTGGATCAGGTACCTTTTTTGGATAAGTAGATTATCTTTGCATTAGATGGGTAAAAAATTCATTTACATATCTGAGAACCTTAAAAGTCCATTTAGGGAGGTGACTGCATCATAGTATTTTGATGTCTTAGAGAACATTAAGTAGTTCTTCTCCTTTGGATAGACTTTAAATCTTTATTTTCTAGATAAATGAGACTCTCATAAATGATTTATATTATATTTAGAAGTATGTGAAAATGGAAATTTTATAATTTTCTTTGGTAATATACTCTAGGGTCTTAGAATTTCATTGTGAGAATATAGAATTATTTTATATTTTCTGCATTTTTCTTTGAGGAAAGGGTGATCTTTTGTTCTTTAAAATATAGCCACTCATCTCTCAGAGCATTAAGTGGATCATTGGCTTTTCCCCATGTCAGAATTTGATAACTATCTTGTGATAAATTCAATCATCCCCTTTCCCCATATTATGGATCTTTCCATTCTTTTTTGTATCCCATGTAAAATATGTAAAGACCAAATGCTTTTGAGGGAGTCTGTGCACACTTGAATACTAATTCATCTTTCTTTTTCTGTGAGGCATTTGTACTTTGTTATCTTTATGCCCTCTTTAAATATCCAGATCTTTGGGCTTTTTTTAAATGGTAAATAGTGCTAAATTCAGAGAGGTAACTGTTAACTGTCTGCAATGATTAATATATGTTAAGATATTTGAGATGATAATTTTAATTTAGATACTTGAAATTCTAGCACTTTCACAATATTTGTCCTCCTTTCTTGTATACTAAACAATAGCATCTATGCTCATCAAGATGTTGTGATAGCCAGGTGTGGTGGCGCACACCTGTAATCCCAGCTCTAGGGAGGCTGAGGCAGGAGAGGGTCATTGTGAGTTCAAGACCAGCCTAGGCTACAAAGTGAGCTCAAGTCCAACCTGAACTGCACAGTGAGATCTTGTCTCGAAAAGACCCAAAAACAATATTCTGTGATCATTTAAATCATGTGATATTTGCTTATAAACTGTAACATAGTATTCTATGTGAAAGTTTTTTTCCTACAGATTATAGTACTCAACATGATCATTTTGTATATTGCATAAGTATGTTTAGTTAACTATGAAGTCTCTGAAGAATGGAATTGTTATATCATTTAAATTAAAAAGCATTATATAATATATCAAATTAATGTGCTGTCAATTGAAAAGCCAAATTTAAATTCTTGGGATTCTATCTTGGAGTTTTTTCTTTTCAAAAATACATTTTTATGAAATTCATGTAGGACACTGTAACTGTATCAAGCAGAATTTCCTTTTCTATTGTTAAAGAGACTCCAAATGGCAGGACATTAATAAAACCTGCTGCTTAGTAAATCCCCAGTATCAAAACTATACTCATTGCAATTCAGCTTTATTACACTTCTTACGTCATAAGAGTTGATGATTTTAGCTGAAATATATGGCAGAAAAGGACATTGGATACAGTGTTGACAATCAAAACCTAAGAATACACTTGAAAAGCAGCCTAGAATATGTCATATGCCACAGAAGCAGATGGAACTCTCACAATAACGTCCAGATTAGTGAATCTTCCTCAGTTGAATGCCATATTTTTTAGCACCTAGCCCTTCAGTGTTTATGTTTCTGTGTCAACTTAGACTATGACCTTTTAAGGAACCATGATTCTGTCTTATTCTTTGTATCCTAAATGCTGATTATAAAGTCTAGCACATAGAACCAGTATGTGTTTTATTGACCAGAAAATCATGCAGGTCAGAGACCTAAGCTTCCTCTAGACACCCTATTCCTCATTACTCCAGTGGCCAGTCTGTCCTTGAATCTCTTTTAACACCACAATATTGTTTTAAATTTGCTTATTCCTCACCATGTCTTCCACTACAATCCCGGCTGCTAGTCTACCACTGAGCTAACCATGAGCACTTTTTCTGTATCCTTGAAGTGACCTCCAAACTGATCTCCAACTAATCTAGTCCCTATTGAGCTTCTTCTCCACATTATAGCTAGAATGATCTTGATCTGTTGAATCTCTTGAAAGGCTTTCTGCTGTTCTTCTGTAGGAATAGTTAATGACTACCATGATATCAACATTACTTTTGACCATGGTATATTCACAGGGCATAATATCATCTGTCACTCATGCTAGAACACTTTTAATGTGAAGTGGGTGCTACTGATACTTGTGCCCTTGCCCTCCAAAACCTGAGTCCTATATACCTTGCTTCATTCACTAGCTCTGCACTTGCAGTAAGTCTTGTTTTTCATTCTTTTGTACTTCTCAAGATTACTCACCATGTTTGTTCCCATAGCTAGGTCTGAGTGTTGCCTGAATCTTTGACTCCTTATTGATCCTGCATTCAGTCTAATTGACTAGGTAAAATCGCTTTACTATAGGTTTTTACTGTACAAATACAGTTTAACATTTCATAGTTGCATGAATAAATTGAATGAAAGCTAATAAGCAATTGCTACTCATACTATACCAATTTTGACAAAATGCAGTGATAAACAGAAAGACAAACTCTATGCAGTTGTCCCTTGTTATCTGCTGGGAGGTGGTCTAGGACTCTTCTGTAGATACCCAAATCCACAGATGCTCAAACTATTCACATCCTCCTGGTCATATTAAATCATATCTAGATTTGGTATAATACCTAATACAATGTACTATGTAAATGGTTATCCTGTATTGTTTAGGGAACTGTAAAAAAAAAATGTCTGAACATGTTTAGCGAAGACTTTTCTTTCTTTTTCTTTTGGCAGTACTGGAGCTTGAACACAAGACTTTTGAACTGAGCTACATCCCTATCCTTTTTTATTTTTATTTTGAGACAGGGTCTCACTAAGTTACCTGGGCTGGGCTTTAGCTTGCAATATTCCTACCTCAGACTGCCATAGTTGTTGGATTATAGGTGTGCACCACCATGTTGGATTATAGATGTGTACCACCATGTCCATTTTTTCTGAAGATTTTGACCCATAGGTGGTTTAATCTGCAGAGGAGGAATCTGTGGACAGAGTAGGGCCTACTATATATTTAAATTCTATATATGGTATTAGTGTAGGTGCAACAGTTTCCTGTGCAACTACATTTTAAACATCATCTAAATTTTAGTCCTGTTATACTATTTAATGTTTAACTTGTTAAAGATTTGGTAATGTGATTTAGATTAGTAACTCCACAAATAAGTTATAAAATATTTGAAGGTACTTATGAGTTCTTGAGAAGAAAGTTCCCCTGTTGAGAATTCTGTGACATTGACAATCATAATATGTAGAAATTTGCTTCTGGAGGCAGATTATCTGGATTTAAGTAATTTAAACATCCAACTGGTATCTATAATACTCATCCATGTTAGAATAGTTGGTTTATTCTCATTGTGATATGGTATTCAACTGTGTGTTGTGTGAATATACTGTAGATATTTCTGTTTTCTGTTTTACTGTAAATGTGAATATACTGTATGTTTATATCCCATTGAAAGTCAATAAAAGAGAATTTTTGTGTATGTGAACTGAAAGGCAGTTTATGTCATGTCATTTTTGTATCTGTTAATGTTGCTTATCTTTTAAGTTAAAAAAAATTGGAAGTTATATGAAGAAATTTCTCTTTCGTAGCCTTGATTGTTACTTTAATAACATTGATTGCAACTGTGAAAACAGACTGTCTAGCTAAAACCAGCCACTTGTTTGAGCAGACTTTGCCTTGTATATTCCTTGGATAAGTAGTATTAATCATACATAGAAAAAACTTGTATGAATATATCAGATGCTTTCAAATGGTTTTATCATTGAGATTTTGGGCTTTAGAAATATCATCTAGGCTGTGACATGTTTCCAAGTGGGTCAGGGAATATTTACTACTTAATGACCAAATATCCATCATTTCTATTTTTTAAAATTAGATCTATTTAAATGATTGATTTGTGAAACCATTGCTTGTTACTTTCATGTACACTTCATTTAGTTTTGTTTTTCTCTTTCTCTATTTTTTTAAAATTTCAGATGATGTAGCACCTTATTTTAAAACTGAACCAGGCCTGCCACAGATTCACCTAGAAGGGAACCGCCTTGTCCTCACCTGCCTTGCAGAAGGGAGCTGGCCTTTGGAATTCAAATGGATGCACAATGACAGTGAGCTCACCACCTACAGCACGGAATATAAGTAATTGATTGCTTGAAAATCAGATTGCATTTCAGGTTTATGTGTTTAGAATATTTGCCTTATTGGGTATAATAGCAGTAGCACAAGGGATGAAGATACTGGATGGGATTTTTAATGTAATAAGGATTAAAGGACAGATCTGAATGTGTAATTAGAGTGTGCCATTCTGATAATAGTGTGCATTTTCATCTAGAAGTGTATATCATTATTTTTGAAAAAGACTGTTAGGTCAGTAGACAAAGAATGGTATAGTAACATAGGAATTCACATAATACTAGGATGATAACTTTGCTTTTCTGTTATAACAGTTTCACCCACAAATATTGCTACTATCTAATGGATATAAATATTTAAATAGAGATCTTTATTTCTGTAGCTTCTAAATCTCTAGTCACCAAAACTGTCCTGGATATGTTTTAAACTGGGATAGGAAAAGAGAGTAGGCGTAAGCACTGTCTCCTTATTTACCAGCAAAACCCCATATATATTAAATGCCTGCCTCATGTCAGTTATTCTGGCCCTGGGGATACTGTGAATTTGATGAGCAGCAGGGGAGCACTGCAGAAGGCCAGAGCCCAGGGGTAGAGGTCCAGAGCAGAGTTGCAGATCAGGGTAAGTCTGAGCTGTAGTGCCACATAGGAATTAGCTCTTGCACTGAGTTTCAAACCTTAGTTCTCCTTACAAGGACTTGAAAGCTTCTCAGGTGTCTGTGATTAACCATTGTTCTCTGTAAGTATTGTTAGGTAGGAGGTGCAGTTGTGGTTTTGATAAAGAGCTAGTCTTTGATAAAGAGCTGGCAAAGTTCAAGAGTCTCCAAAGTCAGCAACAGTCTTAATACCACCCTCATATTTTACTGAACTAAGGAGAAATTGGCTATGTGGATGTTTAGCCAACTATATGTGGGGAGTACCCCACTCTTCATTGACATCAGATGCAGTCCATGTTCCTCATTCAGCCATCCTAGAAAGAGTGTAAAAATTGTATGTGTACTTTTTCATAATTGCCAGCATTTGAGAATTCTAAGTTTTCTCATAACCTCCCTTTTTTTTTCTGATCCCTGCAGACTACGCAGAGACCTGGCCAGCCTGGTCTGCAGCCAGGACACGAGCAGGGACTTAGTAGTGCCACCCCACCAGCCCTTTCAGGTGCCCTCTTGTCCTGCTTTTCCTATCAGCCTACACTTGATTTCCATAATCTGCTTTTGGGAAACAATTTCTTACAATAATTCAGAATGCATTAGAATCAAACAACATCCAATGGAATCCCAGATCTGCAACTTATTAACATCGGTGTTGTGGCATTGGTCAGTTTCTGTGTGCTCTACCTTAGATCAAAATGATTGGGCTGCTCAGACATCACCTGTGGTGTTATAAACTCCACTACTTATAAAGTGGCATGTTTGCTGGCACATAAATAACCTAATGGACCTACGAAATATTTTTCAGTATTATTACATGACATTATGGGACTTGGTTTGTTAGAAATGTAAAAGCAAAAAACAAAAGAGTAAACTAAAAATAAGCATCGTGTGTGAGTAATGGGCTTTGGCAATGGGTAACTTCAGTTCATAGTGCTTGCTACTCAGCTCACTAACTCTGTAACTTTGGGGAAGTAAACCATTTTTTTCTCACTTTTCTTGTCTGTAAAATGAATATACTAAAACTTACATCACATTGCTGTCATACAGATCAAATTACATATTGCTCTCTGTGCCCTAGGAAGAAAGGATAGTGTAGTTTTAAAAGGACCATTTTGTGCTTCCTAGTGAAAAGAAATAATAGTGCAGATAACCTGTCACAGTGGCCTTTGAAGTTGGGTCCATGGCATGAATGTTGGAAAAGGAATGTCTTTCAGGATCTTCAATTTTTTTTTCAAAATTAAGCTGCCTAAGAATATGCTTTTTGACTAGGTACCATGCCAGTTATCTTTTTCTGTGCCCATTTAGTAAGTTCTGTTGATTTACAGAAAAAAGGTGCATACATCTCTTGAGAGCCTTCCTGTGGCACTATGCCTTGGGAGCACAAGAGTAAAAAAGCACAAAATCAAAGTTCTGTTAACAGCTCCTTTTCTTACAACTGGATAAGATAGGTATCACAAGACTATATTATTTGCATTCCATTGGATATATTTAAAACAGTTGTATAACAGTTGTATTTTAAATGCTTAAATGTACTTGGTGCTGTTTTTATATATGCAACTTGTTAAACCTATGATAAAACAATTTTGGTCTTTTTTTTTTTTTTTTTTGGTCTTTTTCGTTTTTATCAGTACCAGGGATTGAACTCACGACTGCCTGCTTGTAAGGCAGGCACTTACGCCACTGAGCTAAACCCCCAGCCCCAACAATTTTGGTCTTAATATAAAAATACATGAAGAAATATTTTGTTTTTTCATTTCTCCTTCCACTAGTAAGTTTACCTGTTCTAGTAAGCTTACCTGTACATATGAAATATGCCATGACAATTTGAAAGAAGACAGAATGTTGGTTATATTGAAGCAAGGCAGAAGAAGCAACTCATTATAGATAGGCCATTAAAATAACAGAGGTGCTTCACCACTGTTTCACTGGAAACACAATAAGAAGCAATGGGTCATTCTGAAGCAAGAATGGTTTGAGATAGATGAATTATATTCTGTTCACTGCAGGCTTCAAACACTGAGATGGGTAGCAAGAATTCACTGCACTTTGTCATTATTTTTTCAAGATATAAAAACGTGTCTAAAAGTCTCATGCTATTTTTTCAAATTACTCCTTCATTTACTTCCTTGCAATAAGGAAGTTCAGCTGCGATATGTTAACCTTCACAAGACCTTTCTAAATTTCAAATTGGAAAACATGGATATTTCATGAAAATGGTACCTTGTTTCCTACCTGAGAATGTGCTTCTATTTTTCCTTCTTTAGTACCAGCTACAGACATGTTAACTCTATCAAAATTAATAATCTTTTACCTTTTCCAGCTTTGACTAAAAATAATATTCTCCCTTGCTTGGTTACAAACTACCTAGTGGATTTGAATGAGTTTCAAATATTTTATTTTATATTGATAGTAAGACTTGCATTAATCAAAAGTGACTACATTAGCAAATTAATAATGGTGGAATTAACCAAGTTTACATAAGTACCTTAGGTGGATTTTTATATGTTTTCCCCAAGAAAACATTTCTTAAAGCTGGATTTGGTGATTCATGTTTATAACCCCAGCACTTGGGAGGTTGAGGCAGGAGGATCACTATGAATTCAATACCACCCTGGGCTACTTAGTGAGCCAGCCTAGACTACATAGCAAGATCCTGTCTCAAGAAAGAAATGAATAAACAAAAACATTTATTATCAATTATTTTTTACTTTGGATAGGAACTTTTTATATTCAAAGTGTTTATTAGGAAGAGAGAATGAATAAATATGATACAACAAGAATTCCTTAAAGCTGTAATTTTATATATTTTTCTAACAGTAGGAATAACTGAATACCACTAACCCACTGAAAGTTATGTAATTTTCTTATGAGACCTATCTCTGTGTCTTAATTCTGTAGAGTAAAAATTTAATGGATGTTTGTTGATTTATTCCAGTAAAAATAGGAATGATTAAAGCAAAAATTATTTTATATTGTGTCAAAAAGCAAGAACTTCACAATATCAATAAGAATTATGAAATACCTGGAAATAACTTTTATAGAAAATGAATAGAAACTTGTGAAGGAATTTCTCACAAAGCTTCACCAAGAGATATAAAAGAGGATCCCAGATAGGAAGTCTAAGCATTCTACAAATGTAATTTCCTTTAAAATTTTTGTAGAAACTTATCCTAATATTAATGAATCTTTTATTAAACCTATCAATAGGATACTTTAATCAGGTCAATCAGTCAATCAGATGTTTTTGGTGGATAATTTGAGGAAATTTTTCTAAAAATCATCTGGAAATGTAAGCATAAATTAATACCAACAAAATTTTAAAACATTAAGTCTCTAATGGGGAGAAATTGAAATGCATCTCAGAAGTATCCAACAGAAAGGGTAACCAAGAAACATTTATTAATTTCAGTAGTTGAAGGATATACATTGGCAGCATGGTCATTGGGCTAAACTTGTAATTTGCTCAAGTATTAGTGATCAGTTGAACATTCTGGCTTTGGTGCCAAAAAATTCCAGTACAGCAAGTGAGAAATATGAGGCATAGGTTGAGGCAAGTTGCTGCACATAAGCATCAATATAAAGATGCTCAACATTTTGTGCAACTGATGATCATGGTGGTGGATCAGGTAGAGGTAGAATCAAAAGGATAGCACTGAATCCATCTTTGAACCCTTAGTGTTGCCTATATCTACCATTAAGTCCAGCTCTTCATAGACTGCCCTACAAGAAGATAGCTATAGTTTCTACAAGAAATTTATTCAAGGGAATCAGTGAAACAAGTGATGTTTTTTATTTGAGCACATCTCAAAGCTATGTTTGATCCTATTACTCCGCCTTTCTTTCTGTCCTATTTGGTTATACTTTACTGTCAGCTACCACTCAGCTTTTCTCACTAGCTTCTGTTAGGGTGACCTTACCCTTTATTTCTGCTTTTGGTTACCTTGCTTTTGTTGGGTGATGGAAGTCATTGCAGTTAATCTTGGAAATACTAATTAAAACTCAGTGAATACCCCCCTCTTTGCCCCCACTATATGGCAACAGCCCTAGTGTTTTAGGATATCCCATCCAAGTTCATTTACATTAAAGTAGTGACTCCTTTCTTAGCACCCCACTGGGATGCAGAGCATAAAGCAATCAGGAAAAATTACTGATTCAGATTCTCTGACCCCTGTCTTTATCACCTGTATAAAATGCTTTTCCCTGAAAACTTAGGGCCGTCATCCAAAAGAGCCCCAGGTTGAGAAATACCTATAGGTTTCTAGGATAAAGGCTGATCAGACCTTGATCCTTTAGTTATGGCAATAGTTTAACACATAAATCTTGGAGCAGAGTTCCCAAAACTATACCATGTTATTTTCAA